GGAAATCAGGATTCCCCTCCCATGCAACCCTCCTGGGCAGGCCTTCCGCTTTCACCCCACTCACTTCCCAAGCCTCACTGCCCATCCCCAGGGACCCCTGTCACTACAGTTCCATGTCCTGGGAAGACCCACAGCCCTTCTGGGAGGCCCCTGAGGACAAGGCAGTGGTGGACAGCTTCAGGAGTCCCTGGGTGGCTCTGTGCTGAAGGTGAGTGGCTTCAATAAGGAAACGGCAGAAACCTCCCTGAACGTCCCTTGTGGTCATGAAGTTAGCAGGGAGGAAAATAGGGCTTGCTCAGGGCCAGAAGGGAAGCAGGTGGAGGGAAACTCCTGTAGCCACTGGCTGGTGCACATGCCACAGAATTCCACCCTCGAGCTGTGGGCACCCCCCAGGAAAGCCCCAGGGATCAGTGACACTGCAGGCCTTAATGGAGTCCTCCCTCCACCTCCCAAGTCACAGTAATAATAATAACTATGTGCTCTTCTCAGTATTTCCATGAATTAACTCAAAAAGTCCTCAAGCCCATTTTACAGATGGGGAAAGTGAGGCAACAAGAGCCTACATTCTTTTTTTTTTTTCATGGAGTCTTGCTCTGTTGCCCCAGCTGGAGTGCAGTGGCATGATCTTGGCTCACTGCAACCTCTGCCACCCAGGTTCAAGTGATTCTCCTGCCTCAGCCTCCCAAGTAGCCACCATGCCCAGCTGATTTTTTTTTTTTTTTTTTTTTTTTTTTTTTGTATTTTTAGTAGAGATGGGGTTTTGCCATGTTGGCCAGGCTGGTCTTGAACTCCTGACCTCAAGTGATCCGCCTGCCTCAGCCTCCCGAAGTGCTGGTATTACAGGCATGAGCCACCATGCCTGGCCAAGCCTACATTCTTATAACTACAAAAGGCAAGGCTGGGATTCAAACCCCACAAATCTGACTCGAGTCTTCGCACCTGATCAGCACACTGCACTTCCCCTAAGGCTCCTCTGAGGCACTACAATTTTCTGAGTTTCTGCTTCTGGAAGCTGGGATGGTATATGGAGAGACAACAGGAAGCAAGGAGAAGGTTGTGAACTTCTAGGTGGATCATTAACAAATTTCCCAACTGGGTGTCAGAGCTCCCAAAGGCTCCCAGCCTGTTCTTCAGGATGCACAGAGAGGCCCTCCAGGTCAAAGTTGACAGTCACAGGACTATGACAGCAACCAACCCTCAGGCCTCAAGGCATGTGCCATTCAAAGGCCCCTCACCAGGACACACACAACCCAGAGGTCCCCTGACTGCTAGCCCACCCCAGTGCTCCTGGGAGTCTCAGATGGCCCAGCCCTGCCATGGAGACACCAGCCAAGAGTAGGGGCCTGCTACCCAAAGATGCAACAGCTAGCGTGTCAGGAGCCACAGTCCACACAGAGGATTTTAGGGGGCCTCGGATACCAAGCAAAGCCAAGCAGGAGGCAGAGCAGAATAAGTGAGGTTGGGGTACGGAGTCAGTTCTGGCACAGAGGTCCCTGGGGCTCAGGAAGCAAAGGATGCCCTGCACAGGGGGCTGGCAGGCTGGCATCCCATACCTGCCCGTGGCTGCCTCTCTGTTACCATTCAGGTCTCAGCTCAGCTGTCACATCTCAGGGACTTTTGATTCCACAATCCAAAATAGCCTCTTTGTCACTCACATCATTTCATTTTATTTTCTACATAGCACTTTCACTTTCTGATATGTTGCTACTTAATGATGATCTGTCTCTCCTCAACTAGAATGCAAGCTTCATAAGGGCAGGGGCACTGTCTTGTTCACTGCTGTGTAATCAGTGCCTAGAGTGGTGCCTGGCAATAATATCTAGTAATACTTCCGGAATGAATGGATGGATGAATGGGCCCAAACAGGCTCAAGCCCTTAAACACTGATGAGGTCCAGTATAAGCAGCTAGCTGCCTCAGCTTCTCTTCCCACCTTTCTTGAGAAATATAGCCATCTAAAATGTTTAATTTTAGCATTAAAATTTTTTTTCTGAGTATAAAAGTAATGTGCTCACAGCTGAAATTTAAACATTACAGAATGACATAGAAAGCAAAAGTTCCAGGCGGGGCGTGGTGGCTCACGCCTGTAATCCCCATACTTTGGGAGGCCGAGGCGGGCAGATCACGAGGTCAGGAGTTCGAGACCAGCCTGGCCAACATGGTGAAACCCTGTCTGTACTACAAATACAAAATTTAGCTGGGCATGGTGGCGTGTGCCTGTCCTGAGGTGCAAAAGTGTGCTGAGGCCTGTGACATGAAGATAGGACAGCCCAGGAACAGAAATTCAGGGTGGATTGAAGAGGAGGAGAGTGTGAGCAAGACTGAATGCTGGAGGACAGAGTTTGGAGAGCAGTGGACAGCATCACAAGCAGGGTTTGGGTGAACAACTTGGGAGGCTGAGGCAGGAGAATCTCTTGAAGCCAGGAGGTGGAGGTTGCAGTAAGCTGAGATTGCGCCACTGTACTCCAGCCTGGTGACAGAGCAAGGCTCTATCTCAAAAAAAAAAAAAAGAGAGAAAGCAAATACATCTTAGAGAAAGTCGCTATTAATGGTATGTTGTATAGTCATCCAAATTAAATTTTATTTTAAAAAAAACCAATATGTGCATCACAGAAAAAGCATTCATAGGCTGGGTATGGTGGCTCACACCTGTAATCCCAGCATTTTGGGAGGCTGAGGCAGGAGGACTGCTTGAGCCCAGGAGTTTGAGACCAGCCTGGGCAACATAGCGAGACCTCATTTCTAATAAAGAAAAAAAAAGCATTCATAATTCCAAACTAGCAGCAATGATCATTTCTCCCTTGCAATATTTTCCTATGTGTGTATTTTCCAAGTCACCATAATATGCTTATTCTGCAACCTGCCATTTTCACTTGTCATAACTATCTTTCCAAGTTGTTGTATAGCCTCTGTGCTCATTATTGTAATGGCTGTGTACTAACTATTCCATCAAGTGGAAAATTGTAATTTACTTAACCTAGGTGTCCAAAGGGAACAATTGTTTCCCATTTCTACTACTATAGATGACACAACAGGAAGTACCTTAATGCCTGTGACAGAAGAATTCAGCCCTTTTCCTCTCAGGTACTATTTCTTAATAAGATTTCTTAATGAATAATTGCAGAAGTGGAATCAGTGAACCAAACGGTCCAACAGTCTTAAGCCTAACAGCATAGATTGCTCCAAGGAGATGTGTCATGTGGTGTCTCCCATCTGAGTCACCACATTCCCACAGAGGCATCCATGGCCATCTCTCTACCCACAACCGCCTTCCCCACCCCGCCTCCTACAGCCTAGCCTTGCTCACACCACCCTGGCTACAAATCAACTCAAGAACACACTTCCTGAAAAACACGCATCAAACTGATTTTACAAGCCCAGGCTGAGTGGAAAACAGTTCTGGCTCTGAATTGTAAAGTCTCAACTAGGAGAGTCAAGATCTACCTAAAGTGGAGGAAGACCTGATTACCCCTCTTCCACTCCCTGCAAACTCCTGCATGGAATCTGAAGCTCTGGGCTCCCATGGACCAGCCTAGGAACTCCTAAAAAAGCTTGTTTGTTCAAGATTACAAAAACCCAGCTCTGCCTGCCATGCCTTCTGGGGAGCTTCCTTCCTGCAGGCCTCTGATCCCACCAGCTGTGGGCCCTGCACAGACATAACAGCCTTCAGGCCAGACAGGCCTCTGAGGGTTGGGAAAGCAGCCAATTGTCATTTTTTAAGGCATCATCAAGGAAAAGCCAGGGGCTGAGGCTGGAAAGAAAGGCCTGTGAGGACAGGCAGGGCTGTGAAGCTAGGAACCTCTCACCCTACCTTGAGTTTGTCTTGCTGAGGAGGAGATGCTGCTGCTGACATGCGGCAAAAGCAAGAGGACCTGCTCCTCCGGATCCCCTGGTGCTCACTCTTATGGCAGCTAAGGCTCACAAATCCCCTCACTTCCCAGGGCCCTGGAAGCCCTACCCAAGGCCTTCTAGACCAGTACCACATGCATTGCTCATGGCTTCTGGGCAGACTCCAGTCCCAGGTGATGCACAGTGATGAACACTACATAGATCTGAAGCCCAACAGCCAAAGTAGACACTGTCTCCCAGGTGTGGGAGACACTTCACTCACGTCAGCCAATCTAGGTGATACCGTTTGGCTCTGTCACCACCCAAATCTCATCTTGAATTCCCACATGTTGTGGGAGGAACTGGGTGGGAGGTAACTGACTCATGGAGCCAGGTCTTTCCCATGTTATTATTGTGATAGTGAATAAGTCTCATGAGATCTGATGGGTTTCTTTTGTTTTTTGTTTTTATTTTTGAGATGGAGTCTTGCTGTGTCACCAGGCTGGAGTGCACAATCTCGGCTCACAGGTTCAAGCAATTCTCCTGCCTCAGCCTCCTGAGTAGCTGGGACTATAGGCATGTGCCACCACACTCAGCTAATTTTTGTATTTTTAGTAGAGACAGGGTTCACCATGTTGGCCAGGATGGTCTTGATCTCTTGACCTCATGATCCATCCACCTCAGCCTCCCAAAGTGATGGATTACAGGTGTGAGCCACCTGTAATTGCTTGGCCAATCTGATGGTTTTATAAGGAGGGAGTTTCCCTGCACAAGCTCTCTCTTTGCCTGCCGCCATTTATGTCAGATGTGACTTGCTCCTCCTTGCCTTCCACCATGATTGTGATTCCTCCATGCTTCCCTATCCATGTGAAACTGTGAGTCTATTAAACTTCTTTTTCTGTATAATTACCCAGTCTCAGGTATGTCTTTATCAGCAGCATGAAAATGAGCTAATACACTGGGTCTGGCCTGGTTTTTAGAGGCCACGTGGCCATAAGACAGCTCCAGCATGTGATGGCCCAATATTGCTTGACATTCCCCTCCCACTGCAGAACAGCAGGATGGGAAACAGACTCAGAACTAGAACGTCCAGACTCGTGCCCATGCTGATGAGATGCCCAGCAGGCAGGATCGCTAGGCTGGTGATCCCCTGGGTGCTTGTAACATACTCACTTATCACACCCTTGAGTGTGCAGCTCAGAACAGACATCAGGATCACTGTCCAGGAGTGTCCCAGGTTAACCTTTTTGGCTGGACTTTGGTGCCATAGTCCTCAACGCAGGCAAGCATCAGCCCTAGGGCTCAGCTGATCCTTGGCTGGTTGGCTGGCAGCTTCCATGTGTCCCTGGGAATAAACGAAGAGGCCTTTATTAGCTTAAACTGCCCCCAGCAGATCCCAGGCAAACACTGCAAGGGCCTGGGCTCTGGGCTCAGCACCAGAGACTCCTCCTGCCCTGGCCACCAGGGCACCTCTCCTGCAACCTGCCCCCTCCTTTCTGCATCTGGTTTGCTCAGGTCTGATTAATCCAGCCACAAGAGTCTGGGATGGTCCTAGACAATCCACATGTGGGGGGTTAGGACTTAGGGCTTCTTGCCTGAATGTGCACACACTTGTGACTCTGAGAGGGGATATAATTTTAGAATCTAGCTCCATTCTCATTCAGCTTCAAATTACATTCTCACCTTCACCCTGTAGTGAGTACATCTGTTCTAAAGGGCGGTCAGAACCTCATGGAAGGCAGACAATGTAGGACATTTGTTTCAGCATTTTGAGAGCAGAGAACCAGCATACATGCAGAAAAACAAAATGTGTGCAAAACCTTTCTATGTGCAATTCTACTTCTCATCTATTCATCTCATTTTATTATTTTACCATTATTATGGTTGAGGCCCTTCCTGTGAACATCACTAACTGGCTACAAGCAAATACAAATCTTACTTTATAATGCCCTTTGCCCTTTACATTACTTTATAATGTACTTAAAAAAAAAAATCAAATAAAGACAAGTCTTGCTATGTTGACCAGGCTGGTCTCAAACTCTTGGCCAGTCCTCCCACCTTAGCCTCCCAAAGTGCTAGGATTACAGGCATGAGCTATTGTGCCTGTCCAGCCATGTACACATTTTTAATAATATCCCTAAGACTTGGCTGGCGCAATGGCTCATGCCTATAATCCCAGCACTTTGGAAGGCCAAGGCAGGTGGATCACCTGAGGCCAGGAGTTTGAGACGAGCCTGCCCAACATGGAGAAACCCCATCTTTGCTAAAAATACAAAATTAGCCAGCATGGTAGCTCATGCCTGTAATCCCAGCTACTTGGGAGGCTGAGGCAGGAGAATCTCTTGAACCCAGGAGGCAGAGGGGGGTTGTGGTAAGCTGAGATTGCACCACTGCACTCCAGCCTGGGCAACAAGAGCGAAACTCAGTCTCAAAAAAAAAAAAAATCCCTAAGACTTGACTATTTAATGGAGATTCCAACATTTTTTGTTTTAATATGAAAGTGCTAAAGCTTCTCTGAAAACCCCCTGGATATAGGATCATCTGAGTATGCCCAAGAACAGCACTCAGGCCCAGCATGGCCCTCCAGGACAGCCCAGCCACTCAGAAGCTGAGAACAGTATGTGGCTGGGGGTGGCAGCTGGCACTCCCCCGTGGATGACCAGGCAGGATGGACCAGAGGTGCTGGCCTGTGCTAATGCCCACGCCCACCTTCCTCCCTCCCCTCTGACCCCCAGGCTCTCAGAATAGAAGCCACTTGAGCCTTTGCTCAAGCTGACAACTTGTGAAGCAGGCAGGCAGCTGAGGAGAAGTGAAAGGGCAGGAGTAAGGGACCTGAAACTCACTGTGTGCACATGTGCTTTCTGGGGGTGCCTCCCCTAGGACTCCCCTCGGGGCCTCTGCACTGAGAACATCACAGTGGGCTGCTGTGCTCAGCCCTGCCTCCCCCTCCCCAGCTCCTCCAAAGGGGACCCTCCAATTCTCCCGGACCTGTCCATCTTCCCTACTTCTCCCAGCCTGCCAGATGGCGGGCAGGGGTCACTTTGGCACGTACCTATCACCTTGAGGAAAGGGCTTTAACAGGGCATGTCCGAACCCTCCGGGCCTCCCTCTCCACCAGCACGACCAGGACGCTGTGCCTGTGGGGAGTTCAATCCCACCTTTGGGCACTTCCCCGACCCTGGCCCTTCAGCCACATCCACGGCACAAGTCAGAACTAAAACAGAAACAGAAACAGAAACCAAAGACCACATCCTGACAGCACAGCCTGCCGGTTACTGCAGCCAGCTCAGGAAGCCCACTGCCTGCTGGGGTGCAGCCCTGGCAGATGAAGCCCCAGCGCTCAGAACAGGTTCCTATTGGGGGCAGCGTTCCACTAGATACCTCTGGCTTCCTGGTCTGCAGGCTTTTTCCCCAGGAAAAACTTAGTTGCAGGGAGGACGAGATGATGGTGCTGCAGAGGTCGCACCTCTTCCTCCAAGTGTGTAAGCTGTCCCTAGGCCTCACTGACACTCCCTATTCCCCAAGAGTAGGTCACAGGGGACAGGGGACATGAGGCTCCTTTGTGGACAGCAGGACCTGAACCAGAGATTCTTACAGCATATGAATGAATGATGAGCCTTTATAGCAACTAACATATGGATAGAACTTATATCATCTCTCATGATTTTTCAAGACTCCTGTGGGGCCGGGAGGGCAGAAATGGTCACCTCTATTTTAGAAATGAAAACATAGAAGGTTCAGGACATTAAGAGATTTGGCCAAATCCAAACACTTGATTCAAATCCCAGTCCTCAGCCTCCAGAATCACCCTATTCCCATACGGTGTGCCTTCAAACTGCTTACCACCCAAATCTCATCCTTAACGCACATGTCTGCACACAAGGGTCTTCAAGTCAGTGTAATCTACTTAGTCCACTCCAAGTAAGCCGCTTATTCTGCAAACTTGCAGCTGAGTTTGTCCATGCAGCTTCTCGTCAATATGCCTCAGACGCTGCTAGGAGCATGAAGACGCAGAGACCACCACCTTATTTCAAGCCCTGTCACCTCTCCCGCCCTCCTCTGCAGCCACCACTCTGACCCCTTCTTCCAGACTTGCTCCTGCCTCACTCCTTTGCGATGTCATTCCACAGCCTCCAGGTCATTCCATCACTGATGTTCCCAGCGGGCTCTGACCATCCTTCAATTGAAACATGTCGTCCCATCTAAAAATTCCTTCTCTGTGTCTGTTTCCTCCACCACACAATGAATTCCTTGAGATCATAGAATTTCTGCTGATGGATGGACAGGCAAGGTGAAGAAGGGCCCAGCTACATTTAAATTCTTGGGCAACTGAGACATCCAGTGTTATTAATCAAACATAGCAATGTCTTGTGGTGTTCTCTAATTTCTAAGCCACCATCACAGAGGGCTGTCTCCCACAAAGCACCATACATGTTGGTTTACTACAGGCAAGGCTGTCTCTGCAGGTGAAGGAAGCAAGGAGAGTGCTCACTCTCCCCTCTCCCATCTCCAGGAGTCATTGCACAACCAGAGTGTGAAGAAAGACAGAGGGGGCGGCCTGGGTCTGGACAATACAGAAGACATGTCCGACATCACGCAAGGAAGGCTGAGGCAGGAACAGAGCATTCCAGGCATAAGGGGAAACATTGAAGCCTCCTACGTGGGCAGGGGGCCAAGTGCAGGTTCAGGTCAGAGAATAACAATGCCTGTTCCTTCTACAATGTGCCGGCACTCTCAAAAGCCACATCAGTTTTTGTGCACACAGGATTCACTTCCCAAAGAGGCTACTGGCAGGAAATTCCCTTTGCATCATTTTCTCTTCTTTCCTATAACTATTTAAGGTAAGCTGGACTTGCAGGATTGAGTCTCTGCCTCTCTGGCTGGAACCTAAAAACCAGATCTCTCTCCCCCGCCCCCGCATCATCTCCTTGGCCTGGAACCTAAGACTGGAGCCAGAAAGCACCCAGGCAAACAGTACCTCTGTTTTTTTACCCCTCCCTCCTTTCCTTATCCCTCCCCAAATCTCCCTGTAAAGGAAAAAAAGTTTTTTCCTTCTGCTGTCACACTCAAAGCAGCACACTTCTGTGACCAGATATGGGGTGGGCGTGGAGGGGGTTCCCCACACCAAACAGCTCTCCAGTGGACACCAACTGGGTCTAATAAAGTTCATTTCAACTCTGACAGAATCTATCCCAAGATAGCAACAGATCCTACATTTCGAGGGCTCAGTCCCACAATACTGCCCCCACTTCAGATACCAGTCACAAGTAGGTAGATTGTCACCTGTACTTCTGACCAACTGGCTACAAACGTGGGTTCCCTTGACCCCCTTCTTGGGTACTATTAATTTGCCAGGATGGGTCACAGAACCCAGGGAAACACGTACCTTTACTGGCTTATTATAAAGGGTGCAGATGAACAGCCAGATGCAGAGATGGATAGGGTGATGTGTTTGGGGGCACGCACCAGCACCTCCACATGTTTAGCCACCCAAAAATTCATCAAATCTTGTTGAAGAGCTTTTATATAGCTTGATCTCCACCCTCCCACACCTTTCCTGGAGGTTGGAGGGTGGGGCAAAATGTTCTAATCCTCTAAGCATTTGGTCTTTCTGGGAACTTGCTCCATCCTGGGCTGTCTAGCCTGTCCCCAACCCGCCACTTCCCAAGTAACTTCATTAGCATAAACTCAGATGTTATCAGAGGGGCTTACTATGAATAACAAAAGACATTCCTGTTACTCAAGAAATTTCAAGGGTTTTAGGAGCTCTATGACAGGGACCTGGGACAAAGACCAAATACATTTCTTATTACTCCACACTGTCCGACCCAGGTGCCCACAAAGTAGAGAAGATGCCCAAAGGCCCACTGGGAGCCCCCTGGTTACTCAAAGCCCCCAGTTCTTCCCATGTGACTCAGAACAACCACTTTTACTTATCCTGGAGTAAGAAAACCCTGAGCACAAATGGATCTGGCAACTTCCTACACCAAGGAGGGGCCAAGCTCAACTACAGATGCAATCAGTATTCCACATCCCCCGAGGGGAAAGCCTGTGTCTGTCCCGCTTCCCCGGGAGGAAGGAGAGGCCCAGGCCTTGGGGGCCTGCCTGGCATGGGGAAGGTGGGTGGAGATGGCAGATAGGCCCCAGCCTCACTGGGCCCTGTCCTTCCCCTCTGTGCCCCTCGTTCTGGGCTTGGAAGCTGCGCTGCCCCACCTGCCTGACATCTCGCCCCACTGTCTTCTGTCTCACTTGGAGGCCACCTGTCCTGTCCATCTCCTCCCCCACTTCATCCTCCCTATCTAACCCACTCTATCTCACATGCCCCTCCCAAAGTCCCCCTCTGAGCAAACCCTGACCACCCAACTCCACCACCTTGGACGGTGGTCTCTGGCCCCATGCCCCTTTCTTTCCATTCCCACCCTGGCACTCAGTAGCTGCTGCTCACTGCCTGAAAGGCTGGACAGCTGCTGGGCTCTCTAATTAGCTGCCTGGCTGCCGTCCCAGAGCGAGGCGTGTGTTACTGTAAAGAACTGCCTCACCTCGCCTTCATCAATAATCCCCTATGCAGATCCCATCAGGCAGCGGCTGAGGGGCCCTAGAATACTCGGCACATGAGACCAGCAAGCCTTCTTCTGCCTGCCAGAAAAGAGAGGCAGCAGCCTCGCAGCCTCACTGGCAAAGTGACCAGGATTTTATCTGTGTTCTCCCCATTACTGCCCATGTCCTTAGGATGTCCTGGAGGTTACTCCACCACACTGCATCTTCAGAAGTGACAGGGGCCCAACCCCTTTGTTGCCTCACCAGGGAGGCAGAAAGAAGCCCAGCAGGGCTTTCAGAAGACAAGCCTAGACCACTCCTGTGGTGTGACACGAGGACTCTGCTTTTCACAGCCTGTACAGCCAAGCCACCCAGAGATTTCTAAATAACCAGAGAATTTAGTCCAAGAAGTCCTGTGGTAGCTGGTTTGTTTATTCAAGGTGTTATATTCCAGTAGTCAACAAATATTTATTGAGACCCAGTGAAGGGTCTCACACTATACCATGTGTGAACAAGACAATGTTCCTGCCCCCTTGGAGCTCACAGGCAGGTTGGAAGATCGGTGATAACTAAGCAGCCCCATACATACTTTAATTTCTAATATACAGGTATTGATCGACTTACCACCTATGCAACTTACGACAATTTGACTTTACGACCACAATCACTAGCCACAACTGCTCCACGTCTGGCAGCACAAACGTTGCCCAGCTGGGCGTACAACAGTGCGGACCAGTTTCCAGCAGCACTACCATCTCCGCGTGCACCATTTCAACTGTACATATAGCCTACTCAACTTATGACCAAATCGTGTTAACGACCAGTCCGCGGTCCTGACTGTGGTTGTAAGTCGAGCACTAGCTGTAAAGGCCAGGCGGGGGAAAGAAAGAAACCGAATGCCGGAGGGTGAGTCTTAAATGTTAAGGAGGTAGCATTTGTGCATAGGTCAGAAAGATGAGAAGAAGTCATGCAAAGAACTTTGGGAAAAGCATTCCAGGCAGAGAGGACAGTTAGCGAAGAGATCCTGAAGTAGAAGAAAGCTAGACAAGTTTGAGAAACAGCAAGGCCAGAGTAGTTGGGGTCAGTGTGCTTTGGATGCAGTCAATACCCTGCCTGCTGGGGTGAGCATTGGACCCGACCTGGCCAATCACAGCACCACATTCCCCTGGCTCTGTGATTGGTTCAGGGATGGATACATGCTCCAATCAGAGCCAATCCTGGGATTCTTGTCGGAATGATCACAAAAGAGGCATCCTTTTTTTTTTTCTTTGGATTTGGAGCTCTAAGGAGGTCAGTCTGAAATTGATTGGGTAAGGCCAGGAACAGTGGCTCACACCTGTAATAAAATTATTTCTTTATTAAAAATAAATACGTTTTTAAAAATTGAAGGACGAGACTTGTTCTGGGGAATCTGTGACAGTTGCTATCTGCTCTCCATCTGAACAAATCGGGACTGTCCCTTTCCTTAAGTAACAGCCCATAGGAAAGACCAGCATGCACTCAGCTGGACACTGACCCCAGCCACACCTGGCACCTCCACCATGAGCCTTAAACCCAACAACCCCACTCTTCACTCAGCCCCTTGCTGGACAGCTCCGTCTACTGAGAAAGCACCCAGCCTTGCTAATGCTCAAAATACGGCTCCAAACAGCACTTAGGCAAGAGTAATTAAAGGGAATGTTATCTCAGTCTCTCATTAGCCACGTAATTAGACTGCTGAAAATAATTAACATTCCTTTTGACAAAGAATACAGAGGACCCATTACATTCATTAGGACAGCCTCAAACCAGCCTAGGAAAGGCTGAGAAGATAATTTAGAAATAAGACCCAAAGAGGTTATGCAGCTTTCTCAAGGTCACAGTGCTGGTAAGGGCAGGACTAGGATTTGAAGCCAGGCAGTGTGCCTATGGGTTCTGTGCTCTATCACAGAAGCAGCTGTGGGGGCTACAAGGTTTCAGCCAGCAAATCCAGGCACAGGAACGGCCCTGAATTGGTGGTTATTGAAGTAGCAGCAGCCAGGCCAGTCGGCCCCACCCCTGCCCACCATGCTTATACCAGATGGGATGTACCTGCTGGGCACTGGCAAGAGCTAGTCTAGGCATCCCCTGCCTCTCAACCCCAGTGTCGAGATCACACCAGCACAGAATCAGCATTCACAGATAGGTGATCTGAAGAACTCAAGATCCAACAAGAGGAACACAGAACCAAGGCTCACCCAACATTTGACAAGAACCAAGGCCACCAAAGAAGCACCAAATTTAAAAACAGAAGTGGCCAGATGCAGTGACTCACGCCTGTAATCCCAGCACTTTAAGAGGCCAAGGCAGGAAGATTGCTTGAAGCCAGGAGTTTGAGACCAGTCTGGGCAACGTAGTGAGACTTTGTCTCACTTACATAAAAATTGTAAAATTAAATAAAGCAAATGAGGCAAAATGTTAAACACAGGTGAATCTGGGTAAAGTGTATATAAGTATTTTGTACTGTTCCAGCAACTTTTCTGTACATTTGAAATTATTTCTAAACAAAATTTTGGAGGCAAAACCATCAGGGACCCTCTTATTAGGGCAGAGGGTGGGGCCCAGGTGGAACAGACATGGAGGCAAATCCAGGGAGAACTACACTGGTCATCAGAGGTCTCCACTGGGCACAAAAATTCCAGATCTGGAATTTTCACCTGCCAAATCCCTCCTGGAAATATTCCCTTTTACAATTGGCCCTCCTTTTCCTTGCTTCTCCATTGATTTACTCCCTCTTCTTCCCAAGATCAGCAATCTTGCAGAAAGCCTCCACCCTCATGCCAGAAGACAGGATTAAACTTTGGAATCTATTCGTATATGTAGTTAATATTTCCTTGGAGATGTCTTGACACCTGTTTTGTCCACAAGCCCATAATAATAAGTCAGATTACACTTGTTAAATCACAGCCTCCTGGATTTTTTTTTTTTTTTTTTTTTTTTTTTTTTTTTTGAGACAGAGTTTCCCTCTTGTTACCCAGGCTGGAGTGCAATGGCACGATCTCGGCTCACTGCAACCTCCACCCACCAGGTTCAAGCGATTCCCTCCTGAGTAGCTGGGATTACAGGCATGTACCACCACACCCAGCTAATTTTTGTATTTTTAGTAGAGACAGGGTTTCACCATGTTGGTCAGGCTGGTCTCGAACTCCTGACCTTGTGATCCGCCCACCTTGGCCTACCAAAGTATTACAGGTGTGAGCCACTGCATCCAGCTGTTTCACCGACATATTAATTCAGGAATCTTTAACTTAAGCGAGACCTTTATGTTCATCTCAGCATTCATCCATTCATTCGCACTTTCATTAAACATTTACGCAGCATCTATTTTGTGCCACTAGGTACATTCAAAGACCACAGAGTCAAAGACCCCAGCCCAGAGCCAAAAGAAGCTGACGTTCCATA